ATACGCATCGGTGTCCGTTTGTCGTTCATCGTTCCGTCGAACCAATAAAAATGAAATACGATCTGTCATATTTTAAATAAACCAATAAAACTGGTTAAAAACAACAAGACACGACGCATGACGGATTTATATTTAAACCCATCCATAGATAACTTAAAAATTATTAGAAACTTTTTTAGTAAAATAAATAGATTGGTATGGGACGTCATCTGCTTTTCTTCTGTCATCGTCTGTCGAAATCTTACCTGAGAAAAAAAACAGAGTATATAACAGTTTCAACTGTTATCTAAAAATAACAGTTTTGCCCATCACTAGCTCTACATGTTCGAAAGGCTTACCACCGTTCCTAATACACAAATTAATGTATTTTTCGTTCAATCTTATTTATAGCTCTTTGAACATATCTTCTTCTTATACTTCCGAATGCATTCTGTACTCTTTATTGTAATGTTGAAATGTATTGTCACTTTTAAAAATGACGTCAAGTAATGCCAATAATTTTATATTATTTTTTATTATTTAATTGCATTTGATTATCCATATTCGATGTTTTACTCCACGTCATTGTTAAGTTTGAAAACTTACCAATATTGTAACGATGAATAGATTAAATATTTCAAAAAAACAGAGCCGGATTTGAAATTAGTTTAATTAAATTGTGTTCCAATGTCTGTGTGGCTAAAAATATTAATGTTAATATTAATATCATTGTACTCAGGAGACCGAATTCTTTCAAAATCTGAAATAAAAAATGCAGGTCCGTATTTAAAAAAATTAAGTTGCTTTCTGTATCTCACAAATTATCAGCTAATTTGAAAATCTAAAAATACTATCAGATAGCCCTAATAAAGTAGCCATGAGAATGTGCAATTAGTTTTTTGATTTTCTAAAAAGTAACGCCAGGAAAAAATAACATTGATTTTCAAAAAAATCCGTTTTTTCCAAAAAACTCAGCAATCCTTGAAATTTTTAAAACTTTTTTGATGGTATCTTGGTGAACATCCTAAAGCGCAACTTTGCCCCAATTTAACCATGTTCATATCTATTACGGTTACCGAGATACCAATGCTCGTACCTCGAATTTGTAGCACCCTGTATTTATTAAAAATTATAGAAAATAACGACATAACCTTCTAAATATTAAAAGTGAAAACATAGTAAACCTTTTAAAGCGTACAAAACAATTAAAAAAAAAACATTCATAAACATAAAATTACTTATTGGTACAAGGTTTTTTTAATTCTTCCAGTTCTTCATCGTGGACAAAATAAAGTGCGCTCAAATTTTCTTCAACGGTAGTTTCGTCTTTTCAAACCCGCTATTTCAAACTTATGAAAACGTTTAATAAGTTTATAATCAACAGGTTCCTTAAAATGTCTTTTTTTCTTGCATGCTTAACTTTTGCCTATGACTTCATTATATTGCAAAAATGAAAAAAAAGCACTATTACATTCTTGTGAGTACCTAGTTTGCTTTAATTTTTTCACAGAAAATTTCTTCCATAGGGAAAATACCGCACGGCACTTTTTACAACGATAACAAAACAATTATAACCACAAAAAACAAAGCGAATTTACGCTAGATATCTGTCAACGTTGCCAACGTTTACCTTTTAGCCCAATTTAATATGTTATCCTCATAATGCCTATTATTCAACTTATCTTTATATCGTGCTTATATTTTACATATATAGACATGTGTAGGGTTTCATCGAGACGAGAAATCTCGTCTCGAAGGCAATTTCTCGTCTCGTCTCGATCATCGAGACGAGATATCGATTCGAGATTCTCGAAAATAAATAACTGATTTATTATTATTAAAAAATTGGCGCCGGGAGGCACGTATAGCAGCCCATACTAAAATATGTTAATAAAAAGTTTGTTGCAAATATTATTCCTAATCTTAAATTGAAAACCGCATTTCGTTAGCTACTGTAATTTTGGAGTTACGATTTTTTTAAATTTTTAATCCCCTCCCATACCCCCTTACCAACCCCACCCCCACCAAAAACTAAATGCCAGATTCGGGTACCACCTCGGGTACCACAGAATTTTTGTGCCAAATTTGGTTAAAATCGGTTTAGCGGTTTTTGAGTTATCGTGTTACAGACGGACAGACAGACAGACAGACAGACAGACAGACAGACACCATGAAAATATTTTGTATTTAGGTCATTTATGACCCAAATAACTCATTTTGAGTGAAATTTGTGAGTGAAAAAAACTTTTTTTGCCGATCTTAATACCCTACCACAGACCCTACCATACCTATTGGTATGGTCGGCTAAAAATATCATGTTATAAAGTCTGCACCAAAAGATGGGGCAATTTTTTTCTGTTAAAAAATTACGTTATAGAATACAGATCTATTATAGGTATGAATGGTATGAACTAAAGCCATGTGTAACCAAAAAACGCAGACTTTGGCCAAAAATCCCAAAAATAATAATATATTTTGTTTTAAAAAGCGAAAATCAAAACGATTCCTTTATGTTTTAATTTAGTCTTTTATCCATATGGGTTAAAAATTTCCATAAAAATTTACCTAGCTACCTACGAAAGTTTAAAATTTTTACTTCGTTGTGCAACAAACTGATTTTTGTTTACTCGAAACAGTCTTTTATTGAAAAACTTTTTTTCTTCGACATTACTTAAATTCGTTTAACTCAATAGGAGTTAATAGTGAAATTTATACAAAAATGGTGCGATAAGAACAAGAATATATTATATTTACGGCATTTCTTTATTCTGAAAAGACCGACTAGACTGATCGAACAGTTTTGGGGATCTATCTTTTGATTATTTGTAATAACTGTAAATAAAGAAATGTAAATTAGCATTGTACGAGAAAATCGTAAATTTTCCAACAAAGTTTTTTATTTCCATTTTTCTAGCCTTTTATGAGCTGTTGAGTTATTGCAGCATCTAAAGTTTTTCGAGATCAAGAAATCTCGAAAATATTTCTCGATCTCGAAAAATCTCGAAGTCATTTTCTCGATCTCGTCTCGAAATCGAGACGAAACGAGACGAGACGAGAAATATCGAATCTCGTGAAACCCTAGACATGTGGCAACCGCGCTAACTGAATTTTTCAAATTCACTGCTATCGTCCAGGGAATGCTAGCATTCACTAATAAAAGTTAGTTTCCAAAATAGCTGTTGAACTTTTACTGGCGTAGTCTTAGCAAATCAGTGAATGTGAGCTTTTACTAGTAACCCAAGTAGCATTTGGACGTTATCTAACGTCGGGTATACGTCGCGTTCAATAAACCCGACGTCGGGTACCAACGTCGGTTCGACCGCCTGACGACCTTTATTTGCACCTAAATGGGGAATACAGATTCGGGTCGCCTCGACGTCGGTATCTGACCTAGTAGGGAATGTAATTCTACCAATTACCAACGTCATATTACGTTGGATTTTAGTCACTTAAAATTCGTCGCTAAGTACTTACGTTACGTTTGGTTTCATATTCGCTACCAAAAATACATAAAAACCTAACCAAACTACCTAATTACAAATGGATTCATAATCACTCCTCGAGTATAACTATAAGCCTATCTAATTTCATATTATAATAATTCTGAATCATTAATCCAGACATCAGTTTTGTCAACGGAAGTCACTTTCTTGATATATCTGGTTAAAATACTCCGGAAAACAACGAGCGCCTTCAAAATTAGGAAGATTTATGAAATAAAAATATCTATAAAAAAGTAACTCGCAAAATATTTTTTTTATTTTCTAGCTGGTTTAATCATAAAACTGTACTGTGGTTCTCCCCAAACTCAACTTTATCAATATTATTCTACTAGAAATCGAAATGTGAATATAAATTTTAAAAACAAAAAACGATTTTAAAATGGCTGACAATCGGATACGTGTTAAGATTTCTGTGTCCGACTAATGTGAACTACCAATATACCAATTCCGACCGGGTCTCCAACATTAGTCGTCTCACACGACCGAAGTCATCAAACCGGACGACCGGCAATCGTATTATGACGCATATAATTCCAACGTACGCCACGTAACCTCACTTTGCGTATCAGTGATTTGTGGATTTGTGCAACTATATTTTAGTTTTGTTTTCTCCTTAAAAAAATGGGCAGCCACTTTTTAAGCCTAACCTCACATGTCGGAGGAGGATAGGGTCTGCTGGTTTCCTAAGCTAAAAAATGAAATTAAGATGCACCAGTGTAATGCAGCATCTCTTCCGGATAAAAAGCATTTACGGGTGGAGGCAAGACATCACTACTACTATTATTATTTTGCAAAAGCCTCGACCTCTTTCTGTAAAATGTAGATGAATGTCTAAATGCCTTTTTAGTGTTTTTTTAGGCATAATAAAAAAATTAAGTTTATTTACAAAATTTTTTTATTAGGTTATGTTCATGATGTTCATTAGGTCGCAAATGCTACTTAATGGGTTCTATTTACCGACGTAAATAGAGATACGTAAATTAGGTTATAAATATGAACATAAAATACAACAAAATATAATTGGACGTTACTTTAGGGATTATCAGTGAGGCGTATCCTATTCGGACAACGGGTAGACGTCGGGCTAGTTCAAGTATATGTACGTCGTGCAAGCCAACGTGGGTACGACGTTGGGAAATTAATAAAAATGGTACGTTGTTATTTTGTACGTCGACAGATCGTTGGATTTACCGACTCGGATCCAACGACGTCACTTTTAATAGGAAAGCGACGTCACAGGTCGCATCACCAGCACCCGACCTAAATTTGCACAAAGTCTGACGTCGCTTCAGGTCAGATTTAGTTCGAAGTCAGATAGATGCTACTTGGGAATAATTGTTAACAATCACTGATTTCCAACTTTTACTGTAACATTAGCTACAAACTGCTTAAAACTCATCAAAATCGGCTCACTAGAACAAAATATACTAAACTTTAAAATACATCAACATTTTAAGGTGCCCGTTTTTCGTGCTGTTGAGTGTATATACTGCTTGTGTTATTTTAAAATATACTTACCACTATTAAAAACACAAGTAACAAATGTCCCTTAAACTTTGCCATTTCTTTTTACTGTTCGGCCGATTCCACAATTAGTTTTATGGATTTGTGTGTAACAAAGACGTCAAAAAATCAATTTAAATTTTTTTTATACCCCCCTAAATTTTATTGCAAACATAAATCACACTTTAACCGATTGTATTTTTAAAGTTATAACATAAAAAATCTTTATTATGTACTCCAATCAATTTCATACTCGTAAAAAGCTACTATGATTAAAAAGATACGAGCATTTGTAAATCAACAAAATGATCTTCAAATATGTAAAATTTATAATACGGCCCAGAGAATGCTACAATAATAATGTGTCTGTATTTGAGTAACGCGATTTTGGAGCGGTATTTTTTTTATAACGTCGCCGTTGTGTGGCGCTAAAAGCTAAAAGCTATATACTATGATTAAAAAGCTACGAGCATTTGTAAATCAACAAACTGTTGCTTCTCAACAGGGTCAAGAAAATACATTTTTGGCGCATTTTTTGTTAAAATATATATTTAATCTCCAAATATATTTTCTACATTATGTATGGCTATTGAAAACAAGCTGCAAATACCGCATGATGCATCGGAACACGGGACGGAGGAAATCCCATGTAAATTTTGAAAAGATCAAATATTACCTCCCCAGATAATTTTATGCAAAAGCTGTATTAGACTTTTTTGAAGGGGCGTTAAAGTTGTACCTTTGTCTAAAATTTCGATCCATTTGGAATAGGCATCCAAAAGTTTTTTGCAGAAATCTATCTTCAAATTAGTAAAATTTCAAAGATAGAGTGATAGGTATATGTTTTTGAGAAGCTTATGACAAGCCAGATCATATAATTTATAAAAATACAGGGTGTTCCATTTAAGAAAATATAACTTTAGTTCATATCGAGGTTCATATCTTCAAAAATATTCTTTTCGAATGAGAATAACATACTACCCCTAGATCATATGCACTTACTGTATATACATACGTGGATAAATAAATCACTATTGAAACTGTCGCAAACATATGAACAACTTCCATATATCTTCCTTTTTTGTTGCACATGCGGTGCTTCTACTCTCTATCTACCCTTGTCGAAGAATATCGTCCACGCGCCAAATTTGAACATTAATTTTAAAAATTTAATTTGTAAAATGCATATATTTGAACAGTGGCGTGTCGTATAGGGGGTCAGGGGGGGGGGCAAACGCCCCTTCTTCCCCTATGCGCTTAGCGCCACGGTAATAAAAAAACTAGCGCCTCTGTCTGGAAAAAAAATAGAAAAACTAAATTTAACGCAAAAACAAACGGTGCCCTACCGTGCCCTTAGCTCTTCAAGATAAAAAAAATGACGTATATCTCACATTTTATTTTTGTTTTTTTAATGTTTACTTATATTTAATAATTTAAATCTCTAATGAAGTAGGCGTATACGTACGAAAGTTTTTATATGGGTTTGAAACTACCCTACCGCTAGACCATTGTCTATAAATAAAAATACAATGGCTAGATATAACGTTGCGCCGGCGCCGGCGCCGCCAAAGAAGAAGACGAAAGCAGTCGCGATGGAAATAAATTCGGGGAATCACCGACCGAAATATAATCGATTATAATGAAGTGCTGAATAAATTTAATATATTGTCCAATCACTTGCGAAAGGTTAATATCAACTTATGTACAGCTGCTCATATGATTACTGCGGTAACTAAAGATCTCAAATCATTAAGAAGTGAAAATTTTATTTCGAAAATTTTAAAAAACAGGCTACTATTTTGGCAAATAAATGCAATACGTCAACATCATTTTCCACAAAAAGACAAAGAAGAATAAAAAAATCATGATGAAATCCAGAATGATTACCTACATCAAAATTCTGAAGATAATTTCAAGATATTAGGGTTTTATGGTACTTTAGACATTTTAACTGGTACTCTAGAGAATCGGTTTGAAGACTTCCTTAATATATACCAAAACTTTAATTGCTTATTGGATATGGACATCAATGATGACAATTTAAAACGTCTTATGAATCTACAGATATTGTACCAAGCGGATGTTAAACCTTCTTTAGTTGACGAATATAAACATTTTTGCAGTTTATTGAAGAAATTAATGCTGATGACAACAAACTTGCACCTGACTGACCTGACGAATATTTATCATTTTTAATCTCCAATGACCTAGAGTCTTCATATCCATCTTTATGTGCATTACTGAGGATTTTTTACACTATAGCCGATAGCCACCAACAGTGCTGGTGCAGAACGATCTTTCAGTAGGTTAGGAAGAATTAATAATTACCAGAAGTGCACCAGCACACAAGATAGAACCAATTATTTATCACTTCTTAGTATTGAAGCAGACATTAATTAAATTAATCTTTAAAATAACTGTTTTGTATACTAACTTTTTTAACAAACAAATTTATAATTAAAAAAAATAAAAGTTTTCATGTAGTCTTTTAAAAGTTTGTAATTTATTTGATCCTTTATTGATCATTGCGCCCATTAAGGTCTTCGCCCCCTCCGCCCTTTTATCCACGACACGCTACTGTATTTGAACAATAAATTGAATGCTTACTGTCACAAAAATTAAATTATATAAAAAAATACATTTAGTCACTCCGTTTTTCATCAATTTTCTTAGGAAATCTAACCAGAAAGTATGCATATGGTTTAATATAAATAAAAGAACAATGACCTCTAAATAAAGTAGACCCGGCATTTCATTCATAAAAAGAAAAAGATCAGAATCAGACATTCGTTTCTTGTTCTATGCGAGTGGGAACAAGACGGGCTGATCGCAGTCATGAAGGATTCCCCAGAGAATGGCAACGCTGTTCAGAGATCTTGAGAATGTGTGCCAGTGGCGTAGTTACTTTGATTGATATATATAATTTAATATTATATTCACGTAAATATGATTTTTGGATACGATATATTGTTGTGCTAGATGACTCTTCAAATTTTGAAAATGACTACTTCTATACTCCAATCACTTCTATACGAAAATAACTAATTGAAATTATGATATGCACATTTCCATAGTAATGTCTGTAAATTGCTCCAGTAGTAATATAATCCATCAAGCGTTCAATGAATACGAGCCGAAGACGAGTTTTATAAAACATTTATGTGAATTAATGGTATTATTTTGATTGAAGCAACGGTGAAAAATGAGAATATTTTAAAACTGTCGTGACAAATTGCAATTTAATATTAGGTATAAAAATATTACTATTTATAACAACAATAATAAAGATCTTTGTTAAACTAAAGAAAATTTCTAAAATATTTACTTATTTCTGGATCAGTTTCTTCGCGGATAATCGGGACCTTGTACTGAATAAATAATTAACTATTCAATAAAACATATTAAACAAAGACGCACTAATCTTTTAAACTATATATTTTTTTTTAGTCTTAATAAACAAAACAAAAAATACATTCCTCTATTACAAAAATTATACTATCAAAAAAAACGGCGTCAAAAATGACAATCGGTGATAATTTTGGCAAGGTGATATGTCATGAGTCATGACCCCTACTCTTGTTTATTTTTTAATGACACTTACTGGCAGTAGTACGCCTTAAGGTTGTATTTGATTTTTAAATGGTGTAATATAAATTCGAATTTTTTTTTTGGATATCGATTTGTGTTTCTGTAAACGTCCTATCCTTTAATAATTTTTTTATAATCAGTATTAGTTTTTGACACGTTTTATGTCAATTTTTAATAAATGACATCTAGAAATAGACCTCGCCAAAATTATATTCGATTGGTATTCCTAGCAGTCTTTGACGCCGTTTTTTTTCGATCATACGGTATTTAGTATGTAATATCCATTATATAAATCTGTTTTGATTTTACACTTAAAAAATCATCTTTAATAACTAAAAATCCTAATAACAATCAGTATGATCGAAAAAAAGGCGTCCAGTTGGCTTAGAAATGAACATCGATGAAATTCTCCATATACGCCGTTTTTTTTTTCGATCATATGGTATATCACTATTGAACATTTTTCGTAATTGTGACATCTTTAATTTTTTTATATATTTTTTCAACAAGTTAATATTCGCATTTGTATACTTGTTTTTGATAATATTTAAATATTATGATCAAGATATTCAATAAAACCAAACGTGACGAAACTAACTTAATGTAACGGTTCATTACTTATAACGGTACATTCCAAAACTGTGTGATTTACTAATATTTCCAAAGATTTTTTCCTATTTTACCTTTCGGCACCGCACTGATGTAACATAGCCTTACTTACCTTCGAAATGAAACTTCTAGGTTTAAATCGTCTCTATTTTTGCAAATTAAGGAAGTTCGCACCATTATTGTTATTGTCTTATTGTTTCTGAATAAAATCACTAAAAATAATACCACAAAACACTAAAATATCTGGAAATCACCTCATAAAACATTTCGAAAAACCACAACACATTGGCAACGCCGTAAAGCAATTTATGAACGAATTCGAACTGGATGTTTTGTTGGCTGCCTGAATTTAGGAGTAAAGATAGTAAAATGCGTACGTTTTCAGTATCAGCTGGCGTTGCGACGTTGTCGATTGTTTTATGTTAAATTTCTTAAAATCTAAAAATTATAATTACAGAAGATTTAAATAACGGCTAATGCTGATTGGGAGTAGTTCGTGATACTAGGCTACTTTTAATAATTATCGGTTTAAAGTACTATTCTACGACGTAATCTATATTTGGAATTCCTGGTTTACAATGTGGGTTAGCTATCCCCGTACGTATACGTAGGTAAGATTTCCTTTTAAATGCGGTCGAAGTGGAAATTTGGCATACATGCAATTTTCTAAGGCAATGATGGATTTCGCCAAAATGTAAGTCGCCGGGTCTAATTTATTTCGATGTCATTGTAAAAGAACAACTGAATACTTTACTTACCTGATGGAAAGATAATTCGGGGACCTTTATATCAGAACTTCCACAAACCAAACACTTTCTAGTCATTTTTACGATTTTTAGAAAGTCAAAAAAATTGAAATCTAATTGCACAAACTTAAAATTAACTTCTCACTGAAACAACTTGCATCCTTGGCTATTTAAAAGCGGTTGATAA